TTCCCTCCTGGGCAGGGGTCGCCGCGAAGGATCACCGACACGAGATTCACAGCAGAGAGTTATTGATTACTAGCGCGCTAGGGTCCCAAGCTCTAAGTTGGCCCTGGGACCCCGACTGCTTGTTACAGGCTGTTTATATAGGCAAACACAAGTTCAAACACAGCTTAGGGCGCGAAATTCAAACAAAGCTTTAGGCGCGTGGTAATTGGGTCTGTCTATGGCCTGAGCAAGGTGTCTTGTTCTAATTGGTTAGAGCAGGACCTTATGAGGTTTTTTTCCTGGAGTTGTTGATTCCGGGAACTTCGAGGCAGGGTGGGACCCCCGGAATTGGCAGGGTGGGACCCCATGAGGTTGTTTCCCGGAATTGGCAGGGTGGGACCCTATCAGGGTGGGACCCTATCGAGGCAGGGTGGGACCCTATCCAGAGCCACCTGGTGTTAATTTTTTTTAAGTTCTTTTTTTTATGAGGCCTAGTTTCTAAGTTTTATGCGGCCTAGTTTCAGAGTCATGTGCACCGGCTTGAGTTCATCGTTACCCTTGCTTCACAGTAAATCATCATGCTTAGCCCACACGTGGCCCTTTTTACAGATATGTTCCTTTGTAAAAACGTAACGAGCACCTGTGAACCCACTACCTAACGTGAAAACGAGAACTTGGCAATAACTGCGTCTACTTGCATGTCTTCCCCATGCTGTGTGCTGCCTCTCTGCCACCTCCTGACTGCCCAGATCCTGGATTGTTCTTTCCCTTGTGCTCCTTTTGATAGTAGTGTTGTGTGGTGTGGCGTGGAGTAGTGTAGTGTAGGGTAGTGTAGTGTAGCGTAGGGTAGTGTAGGGTAGTGTAGGGTAGTGTAGAGTAGTGTAGTGTAGGGTAGTGTAGCGTAGTGTAGAGTAGTGTAGTGTAGGGTAGTGTAGGGTAGGGTAGTGTAGGGTAGTAGTGTAGGGGTAGGTAGTGTAGAGTAGGTAGTGTAGGGTAGTGTAGGGTAGTGTAGTGTAGCGTAGTGTAGTGTAGGGTAGTGTAGTGTAGCGTAGTGTAGGGTAGTGTAGTGTAGGGTAGTGTAGGGTAGGGTAGTGTAAGGGTAGCATAGTGTAGTGTAGCGTAGTGTAGTGTAGAGTAGTGTAGTGTAGGGTAGTGTAGGGTAGTGTAGTGTAGGGTAGTGTAGGGTAGTGTAGGGTAGTGTAGTGTAGCGTAGTGTAGTGTAGCGTAGTGTAGTGTAGGGTAGTGTAGTGTAGGGTAGTGTAGTGTAGGGTAGGGTAGGTAGTAGTGTAGTGTAGCGTAGTGTAGAGTAGCGTAGTGTAGGGTAGTGTAGTGTAGGGTAGGGTAGTGTAGGGTAGTGTAGTGTAGCGTAGTGTAGTGTAGGGTAGTGTAGTGTAGCGTAGTGTAGTGTAGGGTAGTGTAGGGTAGGGTAGTGTAGGGTAGGGTAGATTATTGTAGTGTATTGTAATGTAGCTTAGTGTAGGGTGGCATAGTGCAGTGTAGTATAGAGTAGTATAGTGTAGTGTAGAGTAATGTCATGTAGGGTAATGTAGGGTAGGTTATTGTAGTGTATTGTAGTGTAGCTTAGTGTAGGGCAGCATAGTGCAGTGTAGAGTAGTGTAGGGTAGCATAGGGTAGGGTAGGGTATTGTAGTGTAGTACAGTGTAGAGTAGAGTAGGGTAGGGTAGAGTAGTGTGGTATAGTACAGTGTAGAGTAGAGTAGGGTAGGGTAGTGTGGTGTAGTGTAGTATAGAGTAGGGTAGGGTAGAGTAGTATAGTGTAGGGTAGTGTGGTGTAGGACAGTGTAGGGTAGTGTTGTATAAGGTAGTGTAGTGTAGTGTAGAATAGTGTAGGGTAGTGTAGTGTAGTGTAGAATAGTGTAGGGTAGTGTTGTTTAAGGTAGTGTAGTGTAGTGTAGAATAGTGTAGGGTGGTGTTGTGTAAGGTAGTATAGGGTGTTGTAGTATAGTATGTGTTATGTGTATACATTCCAGAAAGACAATGCCTAATTGATAACTTTTAACTTTGCAAAAAAAAGTTAACCTCATACTGTGTGTCATCTTTGAAATTCATTTTATTTGCTGAATATTTATTGCCCGTATTCATCCATATTGTTGCATGTTGCTGTAATTGTCTCCATTTGGGCTGCTTTTATGTTCTGATTAAATCATATTTATGGATCCACTTTTCTATTAATGGACATTTGAAATGTCTCCAGGTTTTTGCTCCTCAGAACGGAGCTGCTGTTCAAGCATGTGCTGTTCAAGCACATTCTTGTATACATCTGCTGCTACACATTTGCACGTTTCTCTTTGGAGTGTTGTATTAGTTTCCCGGAGTTGTCATAACAAAGTAGTACAGACTGGCCGGGTGCAGTCGCTCATGCCTGTAATCCCAGCACTTTGGGAGGCCAAGGAGGGCGGATCACCCGAGGTCAGGAGTTTGAGGCCAGCCTGGCCAACATGGTGAAACTTCATCTCTACTAAAAATACAAAAAGTAGCCAGGCATGCTGGAAGGCATCTGTAATCCCAACTGCTCAGGAGGCTGAGGCAGGGGAATCGCTTGAATCCAGGAGGTGGAGGTTGCAGTGAGCCAAGATTGCACCATTGCACTCTAGCCTGGGCAACAGAGCAAAATCTCCATCTCGAAAAAAAAATTGTAGGCCGGGCGCGGTGGCTCAAGCCTGTAATCCCAGCACTTTGGGAGGCCGAGGCGGGTGGATCACGAGGTCAGGAGATCGAGACCATCCTGGCTAACATGGTGAAACCCCGTCTCTACTAAAAATACAAAAAACTAGCCGGGCGTGGTGGCGGGCGCCTGTAGTCCCAGCTACTCGGAGGCTGAGGCAGGAGAATGGCGTGAACCTGGGAGGCGGAGCTTGCAGTGAGCCGAGATCGCGCCACTGCACTCCAGCCTGGGTGACACAGCGCGAGACTCCGTCTCAAAAAAAAAAAAAAAAAAAGAAAAAAAAAAAAAAAATTGTAACAAATAACGGTACCACACAAATGCAGGATTGTAACAAATAACGGTACCACACAAATGCAGGATAATATTAATAGGGGAAATGTTGTGTGGGGGGGTGTGGATGAAAACTTTATTAGCTGCTCAAATATTCTGTAAATGTAAAACTGTAAAAACAAAATTGTCTATTACAAAAAATTAGCCGGGTGCGTTGGCGGGAGAATTGCTTGAACCCGGGAGGCAGAGGTTGCAGTGAACCAATATCGTGCCACTGCCACTCCAACCTGGGCCACAGAGCCAGGCTCCATAAAAAAAAAAAATTACATTACACTCAAAACTTGAATCTATTAAGTGACAAAATAAGCTCAATTAGCCACAGAATGGCAAAGATATTTATAACACATTTATCTGATAGAATACTAGTATCTCGAATATATCATTACAATAGCTAGATTAAAATATATACACCTGATTTTTAAAATAGAGAAAAATAAGAAGGCAGATCAGTGAGAAGGAAAGAAAAATGAAGAGAAGTTTAACCTCCTTAGAAATTCCCAAAACTGAAAAGCCCAGAGTTTAGTAAATATTGGGAAGTCTAATCACACCAAATGAAGATGAAGATGCACAGCAGGAATTTTCAGGCACTGCTGGCAAGAAAGTAAATTATTTCAATCATGTTGAAAATGATTTAAAACCCTAGAATGTCCACTCTTACATTCCAGGACGTTTATATACACAGAGACATGCACAAGAATGTTTAAAGTGATTTTTTTTTTGAGACAGGGTCTTGCTCTGTTGCCCAGGCCAAAGTTTCAGTGACATGAACTAAAGTAATATTATTTATAATTTTTTTAAAAATTAGAAATTACAAAAATTCCATCTACGGGAGAATAGATAAGAAGATTATTATATAGTATACAATGGAATTCTACATAGCAGTGAAAATGAACAAAATTGAAAGTGAATTAGCCAGCCATGGCGGGGCACACCTGTAGTCCTGGCTACTCAGGACTCTGATGGGGGAGGATCCCATGAGTCCGGGAGGTGGAGGCTGCAGTGAGTGGTGACTGCACCACTGCACTCCAGCCTGGGCAACAGAGTGAGACCCTATCTCTATTAAAAAGAAATTGAGGTTGGGCGTGATGTCTCACGCCTGTAATCCTAGCACTTTGGGAGGGCAAGGCAGGCAGATCACCTGAGGTCAGAAGAATTGCTTGAATCCAGGAGGCAGAGATTACAGTGAGCTGAGATGGTGCCACTGCGCTCCAGCCTGGGCGACAGAGTGAGACTCTCTCAAAAAAGAAAAGAAAAAAAAAGAAAAGAAGGAAGGAAGAAAGAGAGAAAGAAAGAGAGAAAGAAAGAGAAACAAAGAAAGGAGAAAAGGAAAGAAAGAAAAGAAAGAAATCGAAAGTAAAAAATGATGCATAAAGATATGTACAACATGATATCACTTATATAAAGCAGGCAAAACAGTGCTATATGTAGCTTAGAGATAAGAGGCAGCAAAGGATAAAGAAATGGCTGGTAATGATAAACTCCCAGCTCTCTCTGTCTGTGGATCACGTCCCTGAAGGAGGAAGAAAACAGGGGAGAGTGATAGGCAGACCTCCTTTCACAGCACAACTCTTGGGCATAGCAAACAGGACTGGACGGGGGCCCTGGAGTTAGGCACTGCAGCAGCTGTGAGGACACAGGGCTCCAGCCTCATGTCGTGGAGGTGCTGCTGGGCATGCAGGTGTCCATAGCAAGACTTCTACTATTTTGCACATCTTAAGTATCGCATGTTCTGTGTTTAAATCCTTAGTGCAGGAACTGGCAAACCATCATAATATTTTAGCTTAGGAGAGAAAAGGTCAGGCTTAAAGGTGAGAGCTAGGACTCCGATGGCAGGAGAGCAGAAGGACTGTGAGAGGAGAGCCTGGAAGCAGAGGTTCGCTAGGTGACAAAAGCCAGGGGTCAAGAGGATGCAGGTGTCACACCAGGCTGCAGCAGCAGGACCAGACAGGAAGAGGTGGCGAGCCAAGCCTGGCAACTATGCCAGTGATGTCACGGTGAGGCAGAAATTTAAAAATAAATATGCATTTATTCACTTCAAGAAAAGTAACAGGCAAGGCAAGGGTTAAAAAGAAAAGGACAAGTTTTCTTCTGCCTAGCAAGCTCAGTTCAAAGACAGTTATAGGATAATGCTGTTTAAGAAACCAAGGCCAAAGGAATGGGCTCCAGACACCACCCCCACCGCCACCCTCTTCCAGGGCAAAGTTGAAGGGAAAAAAAAAAGGGAAAAAGACAAATTCCTTTACTGCTACTCCTTTCCCTGGCTTCTTAGGCATAACTATGTTTTACAAATGTCTGTATTTAGCCAGTTCTTCTTTTTCTTTCAATGCAGTTACAAGCTACAAGCTATGCAAGGCCACAAGTTAAGTTATGCTATGCTATAGATTATGTGACCTACCATATGATTAACTGCTTTTGTTTGCTTCTGTAAATTTGCTTATAAAAACCCTGCTCAGTCTTTGTTCAATGCTCAGCTCTTTGGATATGAATCCACTAAGCTGGTGAGTGTCTTAAATAAACAATCCTCCTCTTCTCCCTATCAGTCTCTCTAGTCCTCAGTTTCCCGCAACAGTGGTCCAGGCCAGCTGACTGATCACACAGATTCGCCAGGGAATCAAGGAGTGCCACCCAGGGAAGCAAGATGGTCGCTAGAAGAGAGGCAGATTGGATGGAGCAGGGAGTTTGGGTGTGACAGGATGACTGTGGTGTGGTGGTAGGACTTTGCTGCACGGATCCCCGGGTATTTGGAAATGTAGGTGTGGGGTGCACCGGAGGGCTCAGGACTGGAAGCGCACTTGGGGAGCCACAGATGCACTCCCAGAAGCACACCCAAGAGGAGGAGTGGGGGGCTTGGGCAGGCAGGAAGCTTGAGGAGCACCCACCCGCAGGGAAGGGGAAGGATAGCGCAGGAGCTTGAGGAGAGGACGCTGAGAGAGTCGGCTTCAGAGAAACACCCAGGGTGTGAGGTGCAGAACCCAGGCATGGCACAGCTGCATGGAAACCTGGGGCAAAGCGGCATGAGTGGCTGCCAGGAAGTCCGGAGGGCTCCACGGTGGGCAGACGCGTCTGTGATGAAGCCCACGGCAGGTGCAGGTGTGACCTGAGACCTGAGTCTGCTAAGGAGAATTGAGGACGCCCCTGAGAAGGTTTTGAATCTGAAGATACCATGGGAGTCTTGATGATGGGGCAAGCAGTCTGGGGGTGGGCGAGGAGAGCACACTCAGCATGCGTGCTGGTAGGAGGGGCTGAGGTGGGGAGTGATGGGGAAGAAGGTTGGGATGGTAGGGGGAGAGCAACACTCAGCATGCATGCTGGCTGGTGGGACTGAGGTCAGCAGGGACAGGAGGAGAAGGCTGGGATGGTCGGGGAGGAACAGCGCCTATTTTCCCATGTACCTTGGGCTGCAGATGAAGACTGGCTGGCAATAGGCTGGCTGTGTTGAGGATTGAAGCGGCTTGGAGAGCGCTGTCTTCTCTTTCGAGGTGGCTGCCCTCTGTATACCCTACCTCCCCAGAAAGGGGCAGTTCCATGCTATCAGTGATCTGCATAAAGAAAGATGGCTGTAAGTATACTCGTGAATCATTAGTACGTTTTTATTTTTATTATAGCCAAGTGCGCTCTCCCGGCTGTGATCAAACGAGCAGACAGGAACACTCTGAACCCTAGAAATGGATGGGTTCCAGGGCCATTGACTTATAACCATCATTTAACATGTTTTCTAAAAAAAAAAAGTGCTTGATGTTTTATTGTTCAATCCTAGAAAAGTCATAGAATATTAAACTTTGTGATGAGCTCAGAAAGCAGCTAGTTCAACTTTCTCATTTTACAATTTGAGACCTAGACAGGTCATGTGATTTTTCCTGGGGTCACACGGCTTGACACTTGTGTTTTTCTGTGAAGTGAAAGGCTCTCAGCATCTTTCAGGAATCTATGGAAGAAAATATGTTGGAATTTTTAAGCTTCACAGAGCAGCCGTCACTCCCAAAGACATTGACTGCAATTGCTTCCTGCAATTTAAAGTAAGTATGGGTGGCTGGTACAGTGGCTTATGCATGTAATCCCGACACTTGGGAGGCTGAGGTGGGAGGATCGCTTGAGCCCTAAAGTTCAAGGCTGCAGTGAGCTATGGTCACTTCACTGCACTGCAGCCTGGACAACAGAATGAGATCTTGTCTCTAAAGTAAATAAATTAATGAAAGTAAAGTGATCGGGGGGAGTGGGTGTGTGGAAAGGAAATAGTCCATGCTGCGTCTTCCTGTCTCCCTGGGCAGGTGAAGTTAGTTGGCTGGTAGGGAGGCTCAGCTTGCACTAAACCTCTCATTTCTGGGAGTAATTGAACAGATGAGATTTTACTGCCTCCAAATATAAGAATATTTATGTGTTTTATCTTTTCGGGAGAAAAATTATCTAACTTTGTATCCACCACAGAATGACAACAGCTTCTTTAATTTTCTAGAAGAATGAACTGAAGCCATTAGTCAGGGCTGAAGGCTAGGAGGCCTGGAAAATTGCTACAGGGTAACATTTCCATGGAACTACGTGTTCTTACTTATTTAAGTGGAAATACACACATAGATCATACTTCCAAATGGTAGTTTGTGTCACTGAAGTTTGTACTGTACACTCTCCCAGAATGTTTTATAGAAATGGAAACTCAAAAGATTTATTGACAATATATAAGTTTGTTCAAAGTGGTTGAAAGAAAAAAAAGGTGTATTAAGTGCAATTAAACAACAGAAGTCTACTACATTTTATTTCACTAGGTGGGGAGGATGGCTGCAGAGCTTGGAAAAGGGTCTGTGTAGTTGTGTCAGAGGGGACATATTTAACTGTCCTCTCCAAAGAAGATGTGTTGCCTCTCCCCAGGAACCTGCAGGGTCATGGTGTACCAGTGCTCGGCAGTTCTTTTTATGGCCAAACGAGCTTCCCACCAACGTGAAGCTCTAAGCAATAAAATGAAAAGAGAACATCGCGGAATTGCTGATCCGTGTAAGAAGTGTGCTATACCTTCTAGTATGTTCTGAATGTAGACATTGTTCAAACAGATGGTTACTTCTGCCTCAGTCCTTGGTGCAGATGAATAAAGAAACGATGTCAAGGACCAGAGGCTGGAGAAGGGTGGTGCAGGATCCAGGTATAAACTCAAAAAACTGGAATCAGAGCTGGTGTGGGTAAAGATCATACGGAAAAAAAGCACTGGGCTGTGGATCTGAACATCTCTGGGAGCCCTAGGTGAGTGGATCACCTGAGGTTGCGAGTTCAAGGCCAGCTTGACCAACATGGAGAAATCCTATCTCTACTAAAAATACAAAATTAGCTGGGCGTGGTGGCGTGTGCCTGTAATCCCAGCTACTTGGGAGGCTGACGCAGCAGAGTTGCTTGAACCTGGGAGGCAGAGGTTGGGGTGAGCGGAGATCGTGCCACTGCACTCCAGCTTGGGCAACAAGAGCGAAACTCTGTCTAAAAACAAAAAAACACAGTTCAAACAGCTGGCTACATTTGATTGGCCAAAACAGGTGTAGGCTGTGGTCTGTTTACATCTCCACTTGCTACATAGTTCACAAGATGGACAAAGAAACCTTTAGGCTGAACTTAAAATATGTTAGGAGGCAGCTTTAGGCTCAACTTGATTCAGCAAACTTCAGGCCAGTGTCAGGATTTAGTTCAATTTGGAATCTGTGAAATTAAACAACTTTAGGGTGAACTCAAATTAAATCTACAGATCACAGTTTCCTGAACTACTAGGAATATTCTTCACCCTGCTCACCTGGTGTAAGAAAGTGCAGGGCCTCTAGAGGCCTTGAGTCTGCTTTTCCATCTCAACTCCAAGACTTACTGTGCCATTTTAGGCGAATATTTAAACTCTCTGAACAAACTTGTAAAATGAGTCATCTTACACTCTTCAAGAAATTGTGAGACAATGAGAAGAGATTAAACATGTAACAGGCCAGGCGCGGTGGCTCACACCTGTAATCCCAGCACTTTGGGAGGCCGAGGCATGCAGATTGCTTCAGGTCAGGAGTTCAAGACCAACCTGGCCAACATGGTGAAACTCCATCTCTACTAAAAACACGAAAATTAGCCAGGCGTGGTGGTGCATATCTGTAGTCCCAGCTACTTGGGAGGCTGAGGCAGGAGAATCACTTGAGCCTGGGAGGCAGAGGTTGCAGTGAACTGAGATTGTGCCACTGTACTCCATCCTGGACAACAGAGTGAGACTCTGTCTCAATAAACAACAACAACAACAACAACAACAACATGTAACAGTGTCTGGCAGCAAATGATCGATGCCAAACCTTTTTCCTTCTTCATTACCCTTGCATAGCTTGTACCCTATCTGCTGGTGTTTCATCCTTGGCAGCTGAGAACAAACCACCAACAAATCCAAAAGCCGAAACATTGTTTCTATGACTTGAAAACTGTGCGAATACTAAACTGTTCCGAAAGAGTCGAGAGAGAAATATTTCCCAATTCAGAGACCAGTGTTGCCCTGATACAAAGACCCAAAAAACATGTTCCAAGAAAGACAACAAGGCCAGGCACGGTGGCTCAGGCCTGTAATCCCAGCACTTTGGGAGGCCGAGGTGGGCAGATCACAAGGTCAGGAGATCAAGACCATCCTGGCTAACACAGTGAAACCCCGTCTCTACTAAAAATACAAAAAATTAGCCGGGCGTGGTGGCGGGCACCTGTAGTCCCAGCTACTCGGGAGGCTGAGGCAGGAGAATGGCATGAACCCGGGAGGCGGAGCTTGCAGTGAGCCGAGATCATGCCCCAGCACTCCAGCCTGGGTGACAGAGCGAGAGCCCTCATGAATATAAATGCAAAAGTTCTTAACACAATTTTAGCAAATCCAATCCAGCATTCATGCATGAAACACTCACAAACTAGGAGGAAAGGAAGGGCATGTCTTCAATAGGATAAAGGGCTTCTATATAAAAAAAAACAAAAACAAAAAAACCCACTATAGCTAGCATAATAATTAATGGTCAAAGACTAATTTTTCTCTCTAATAGCAGGAAAGCTATTAGATAATAGCTTTCTTTCTTCCTTTCTTTCTTCCTTCCCTGCCTCCCTCCCTCCCTCTCTTTCTCTCTTTCTTTCCTCCCTCCCTCCCTCCCTCCCTCCCTCCCTCCCTCCCTCCCCTCCTTCCTTCCTTCCTTCCTTCCTTCCTTCCTTCCTTCCTTCTTTCCTGGAGTCTCACTGTTTTGCCCAGGCTGGAGTGCAGTGGCACATGATCTCAGCTCACTGCAACCTCTGCCTCCAGGGTTCAAGCGATTCTCCTGGCTCAGCCTCCCAAGTAACTGGGATTACAGGCATGTGCCATCACACCTGGCCAGAAAACACATTTCTTTAGCTGAAAAATCCTTTTGGAATCAACAAAAAAGCTACAACAATTTATAAACGAGTTTAGTAAGCTTACAGGATACAGAGCCAATCTTTAAAAAACAACGATAAATTTGAAACTACATAAACAATATATTTTAACATAATATCAAAAATATGAAACATTTAGTGATGTATTTTGCAAAATATGGACAATATATGAACATTGCAAATTGCAGGATATCACTAGGAGAAATTAAAGGAAACTTGAGTAGATGGAGAGATGTACTGTGTTCATAGGTTGGATAACTCAATCTTACTGAGGTATGACTTTCACCCTATCTGCAGTTCAAAGGAACGAGTATTAATTCATACAACAACATGGATAAATCTGAAGATAACTACTCAAAGCGAAAGAAGCCAAACAGAAAAGGAGATTTAGTGTATAATTCCATTCACTAAAAATACTAGAAAATGAAATCTAATCGGTAGTGACTGAAAAAAGATCAGTAATTGCCTGGGAATTGGGGAGCAAGGAGTAGAAAGAGTACAAAGGAGAACAAGATGTTTAGGAGTGACAGGATATGTTCACTTATTGGTTGTAATGAAAGTTTCACATCTACACACATGTCAAAACCTATCAAACTCTACCCTTTAATATGTGCAGTTTCACATAGGTCAATTATATCTCATAAAAGCTATTAAAATGAGGCATAACAAAAATGTAAGACATGAACCCTTATTAAATCCTTGGAAAAATAAGACATTTTAGGGACAATCAAGCAAATGTGAATGTGGAGTAGGTATTAAATGATGTTAGGAGATGATTGGTACTTAGGCATAATGATGGAATTCTGGATTTGAAAAAATGCCAGTATTCTTTTTTTTTTTTTTTGAGACGGAGTTTCGCTCTGTTGCCCAGGCTGGAGTGCAGTGGCCGGATCTCAGCTCACTGCAAGCTCCGCCTCCTGGGTTCACGCCATTCTCCTGCCTCAGCCTCCCAAGTAGCTGGGACTACAGGCGCCCGCCACCTCGCCCGGCTAATTTTTTGTATTTTTTAGTAGAGATGGGGTTTCACCGTGTTAGCCAGCATGGTCTCGATCTCCTGACCTCGTGATCCGCCCATCTCGGCCTCCCAAAGTGCTGGGATTACAGGCTTGAGCCACCGCGCCCGGCCAAAAATGCCAGTATTGTTAGAAGCTTCTTTTCCACTGAAGTACTTAGGAGTCAAATGTCATGTCTGCAACAATTTTGAATCTTTTAGCAAAATAATCTATAGAAAAATAGATAAAACAAATATAGCAAAAATATTAACAACTGATAAATAACAGTTCATTATACTATTATTTCAACTTTTTGTGCATGTTTGTTAATTTTAGAATTAAAAAATCAAAAAATATTGACCAAGCACATTTGAAAAAGAACCAAATTACAAAGACAAAAAATAATTAAATTATCAAAGCAAATGGAGAGGTTTAACGGAAGACACAGATGAAGATAAAATTGGTGAAGTACAAAATAAATCTAATAAAATTACCCAGAATGCAGTATAGAGAGAAAAAGAGATAGAAAATATGAAAAAAAAGTTAAGAAACTTGGAGAATGCAATGACAGGGCCTATCATATGGGTGTTGGAATTTCAGAGGAAAGAGAAAGAATAAGGCTAAGATTATATTTGTAGAAATATTTCTAAGAATGATTCCTCAGAAATAATTCCTGAGAGGCCGAGTGTGGTGACTGTCGCCTGTAATTCCAGCACTTTGGGAGGTGGAGGCGGGTGGATTACCTGAGGTCAGGAGTTGGAGACCAGTCTGACCAACATGGTGAAACCCCGTCTCTACTAAAATACAAAATTTAGCTGGGCGTAGTGGTGGGCACCTGTAATCCCAGCTACTCGGGAGGCTGAGGCAGGAGAATCACTTGAGCTCAGGAGGTGGAGGTTGCAGTGAGCCAAGATCATGCCACTGTACTCCAGCCTGGACAACAGAGTGAGACTCTGTCTCAAAAATGATGATGATAATAATAATAATTATTATATTTATTATAATTATAATTATATAAAAATAATATATAAATATATAAAAATATAAATATATAAAATATACATAAATAAAAATATTTATTATAATTATAATGTATTATAATTCCTGAGAATTTCTAATGAATAAGTAAATGGAATAAATGAATCCACACTTAGGCACACCATAATGAATTATCAAGCATCAACAACTAAGAGAAACCTCCAAAGCAGCCAGTGAAGAAGATGGAGATGTTCAAATGAACAAAGATCTATTTTCATCACCCACAACAGAGGCAGAGCTAAAAATGGAATATTGTTAGTGGGCTGAAAGAAAATAATTGTGTACCTAAAATACTATAAGTAGAAAAAAGATATATTTTAATATTTACAGCGTCGGGCGCGGTGGCTCATGCCTGTAATCCTAGCACTTTGGGAGGTCAAGGTGAGTGGGTCACCTGAGGTTACGAGTTCAAGACCAGCCTGACCAACATGGTGAAACCCCATCTCTACTAAAAGTACAAAAAAAAATTAGCCGGGCGTGTGGTGTGTGCCTGTAATCCCAGGTACTTGGGAGGCTGAGGCAGTAGAATCACTTGAATCCAGGAGGCGGAGGCTGCGGTGAGCTGAGATATTGCACTCCAGCCTGGACAACAAGAGCGAAACTCCGTCTCAAAAAAAAAAAAAAAAAAAAAAAAGAATGAGAGCAAAATACGGGTGCAATGGCTCACGCCTGTAATCCCAGCACTTTGGGAGTCAGGGAGCTTGAACTCAAGAGTTCAGGAGCAGCCTGGGTAACATAGTGAGACCTTGTCTCTAATAAAATTTTTAAAATGTTAGCTGGGCGTGGCAGTGCATGCCTGTAGTTCCAGCTACTTGGGAGGCTGAGGTGGGAGGATCATTTGAGCCCAGGAGATGGAGGATACCATGACCTATGATTGCGCCACTGCACTCCAACTTGGGCAACAGAGTGAGATCTAGTCTAAAAAAAAAAAAAAAAGAATTAGGGTAAGATAAAGACATTTTCAGGTAAACAAAATGAGTGTTTGCCACTAGACATCCTCACTAAGAAAATTTGTAAAGAATATACCTGTAAATCAGGCAGAAGGAATATGATGCCAGATGAAGGTCAGACACACAAAAATGTGAGGATGAAAAACTGACCAGTATGTAGATCTAAACAAACAAACAAACAAAACAAATTTAAATAAAATAATCCCTTCTGCAGTTTCTTTTTATGTATTTATTTTTTAGGGGCCATGCTAGTCTTCTCTGTGTCGTTCCAATTTTAGGTGAATGCAAAAGTAATTGTGGTTTTTTTTGAGACGGAGTCTCGCTCTGTCGCCCAGGCTGGAGTGCAGTGGCTGGATCTGGGCTCACTGCAAGCTCCGCCTCCCGGGTTCCCGCCATTCTCCTGCCTCAGCCTCCCGAGTAGCTGGGACTACAGGCGCCGGCCACCTCGCCCGGCTAGTTTTTTTGTATTTTTAGTAGAGACGGCGTTTCACCGTGTTAGCCAGGATGGTCTCGATCTCCTGACCTCGTGATCCGCCCGTCTCGGCCTCCCAAAGTGCTGGGATTACAGGCTTGAGCCACCGCGCCCGGCCTGTAATTGTGGTTTTTGCACTATTGGAATTTGCTGTTTGATACTGGAATATGTTCTTAAATAAACATGATGTTATACATCATTAATGGGCATTTATTGCTTTATGTTTTTTTGCTAATGACTTATTACTTGCTGTTTATTTTCTGTTTATTTTAGACTATGGAAATAATGTTAGACAAAAAGCAAATTCGAGCAATTTTCTTATTTGAGGTCAAAATGCAGAAGAGACAACTGGCAACACCAACAACGCGTTTGGCCCAGGAACTGCTAGGGCACACACAGCGGTGGTTCGAGAAGTTTTGCAAATAGAGGCCGGCCGTCGGAAGTTGACAGTGATCAGTTGACGGCAATCATCAAAGCTGATCCTCTTACAGCTACAGGAGACGTTGCTGACAGCTCAGCGTTGACCATTCAATGGTCGTCTGGCATTTGAAGCAAATTGGAAAGGTAAAAAGTCTTAATAAGTTGGTGCCTCATGAGCTGAGCAAAAATTTTTTAAAATCATCATTTTGAAGTGTCATCTCTTATTCTACATAACAACGGCAAACCATTTCTCAATTGTATTGTGATGTGCAATGAAAAGTGGATTTTACGGGCCAGAGCAGTGGCTCATGACTATAATCTCAGCACTTAGGGAGTTTGAGGCGGGAGGATAACTTGAGGTCAGGAGTTCAAGACCAGCCTAGCCAACACAACGAAACCCCATCTCTAAAAACATTAGCTGGGTGTGATGGGGGGGCCCTGTAGTCCCAGCTACTCGGGAGGCTGAGGCAGGAAACTGCTTGAACCCGGGAGGCAGAGGTTGCAGTGAGCCGAGATCGCGCCACAGCACTCCAGCCTGAGCGACAGAGCAAGGCTCAACACCCTGCCTCCCCTGCCCCCCTAAAAAAAGAAAGAAAAAAAGAAAAAAGAAAGCACAGCCCTCCGTTGAGGCCTCTGGGCGATCCAGTAGGATGGGTCTGGGCGCGGACTGCCTGGGGACCACGCAGGACCGTGACAGGTGCAGTCGGACCGTGACAGGTGCAGTCTTGACACTGGCTTTGAGAGCAGCTGAGGGCCTGGGCGAAGAAGGGGCTGCAGGTGTAGAAGTCAGGCCGGCCCCGGGGAAGTGCGCACCGGTGTGCGGGCGTCATTCAGGGCCCTGACGGAGCTACGGGGAGAATTTAGCCCTGGATCCGCTCTGGGGTGTGGGATGGCGGGATGGGGTGCCTTGCCCGGACCAGGGCGAGCAGGGTGCGGGGCTCCTGGAGGCTAGCAGGATGAAGGTCGTTTTTAGGATGAGTGAGGCTTGCAGGTTCCCTGCTTTCAACCCGGAGGGAACCCGGGTCCACGTGGCAGTGGGATTGGGGGTGTGACCTGCAGCCACGGAAGGGGCGCTGAGGCGCGCGGCCGCGAGGGGCAGGGGCGCCCACGGGGGCGCGCGGCTCGTGTTATTAGGGAGGCTGTCCAGGGCGTCGTGCCCCGGCCGGGCGCCAGGTGGCGGCAGAGGCCGGTGCGGCGCAGCTTCCTCGGCAGCCAGACAGCGGTCCCCAGGGTCGGAGGCTGGGGCGGGGCTGGAGCAGAGCGGGAGAGAGGAGGGCAGCCAACAAAAGAGCATCCGCGAACGCCCGAACGCCTGAACGTGGGTGGCGAGTTGTATTTTAGGATATGTTAAAAAGTTAGGAATATTAAATAATTGGCTCTTGGCCGGGAGCGGTGGCTCACATGTGTTATCCCAGCACTTTAGGAGGCCGAGGTGGGCGGATCACCTGAGGTCGGGAGTTCGAGACCAGCCAGGCCAACATGGCGAAACCCTGTCTCTACTAAAAATACAAAAACTAGCTGGACATGGTGGTGCGCGCCTGTAGTCCCAGCTACTAGGGGGGCTGAGGCAGGAGACTCCGTCTCAAAAAATAAATAAATAAATAAATAGCCACTTAATCCCAGACTGAAACCCTCTTTTCAGACTCTACATTAAGAGCTTAAAGAACTTAGTCCCAGGCAGGCAGGTCACTTGAGGTCAGGAGTTTGAGACCATCCCGGGCAACATGGAAAAACCTTGTCTCTACTAAAAATACAAAAATTAGCCAGGCTTGGTGGTGTGAGTAATCCCAGCTACTCAGGAGACTGAGGCAGGAGAATCACTTGAACCCGGGAGGCAGAGGTTGCAGGGAGCTGAAATCAGGCTGCTGCACTCCAGCCTGAGCGACAGAGCAAGACTCTGTCTCAAAAAAATAAAATAAAATAAAGAGCTTAAAGAACTTAAGAAAACACCAAATACTTCTGAGGTACCAGTGGCAATGTAGTAATTAATGAGGATACTCAAGGAGGATACTCAATTGCCAATGTAAAAATAATTAAACAATTTCCAAAAGTCTATTTCAGTGAAGGAAACATTTGTCTTTAAGGGAAACATCAATGAAAATTATGTTTATGGCCAAAATGAGCCCTTTCTGCAAGCTTCATTTAAAAAATTGTGGGCATAATTACCATTTTACACAAAATAACTCTGTGGAAAGCTTTTTGAAATAAGCTTCTATTGAAATAAAACACCAATTAATTACCCATTTAACTTATTAAATGAGAACTATAGGGTGCTAATTTTTAAATATTTTTAAAAATTGCTTTTAAATAATATCTTTTCTTTGGGACTTGAGAACGTGTATAGCTAATATGAACAGATGGAACAAAGATTTTAATTACTTCTTTTATTATTTACCTATATATTCTGTATCAGTTAATTTCATTGCTCAAATTATTAATGTCTAATATGCCACTTGAAGCATTCGTATTCTGAAAATGATGTAGGTTGGCCGAAAGTATTATATACTAGGATACAGCGCGGTTTGGGAGTGACTCTTGCCTGTCCAGGAAGGTGCAGGTATCTGACTGTAAATGTAGGAGAATTCAGTTCAATATAAATAGTTTAGTTTCCTGTTATATTAGGATAGGCAGTTAAACTTATGTTTTTGCCTTAGACAGATTATCATTATCCGTCAGTCCTACAGTTTAGGTTTTGACATAGCTCTTTAAGTACAAATGGAGAATACATCCCCAGTAGCACTGCAGTCTTCATTCACACCACTGAGTTTCGGTGCCATCAGGGGCTTTGAAGTCAGTGCCATGGAGCACACAGATGGAGGATGAATGAAAGGCACAGAAAAGTCCTCAGGTAGAAATAGGGGGAGCAGAAAAGCAGACAGACACCAGAGGGCGCAAGAGGAAAGTGGCATCAGAGTCATGGAAGAGGAGGCGGGCTGGGTGAAGGAAGACAGTGAAGCGGGCACTCTGAAAACCCCATCCGAATCTTTCAGTGTAAGTAGGCACCACCCACATCATGTTGTCATTGCAAGCAGGTTCCTTCCATATGTCCCGAAAGGCTCTCGATGGTAGCTTACATCTCTCTGACACTTGATGGCTTTCTTAAGGTATTTAGGTCCATTTACTAAAAATGACTCATCACTTGTTAATTAAATAAGAATGTTTATACAGTTTTTTCATTTTAATTGCAAACATAGGAGATAAAGAAAATAGGTGCTTGTGGCCGGGCACGGTGACTCACGCCTGTAATCCCTGCACTTTGCGAGACCGAGGCGGGCGGATCACCTGAGGTCAGGAATTCGAGACCAGTCTGGCCAACATGGTGAAACCCTGTCTCTGCTAAAAATACAAACATTAGCCAGGCATGGTGGCGGGCACCTATAATCCCAGCTACTTGGGAGACTGAGGTGGGAGAATCGCTTGAACCCGGGAGGCGGAGGTTGTAGTGAGCTGAGATTGTGCCACTGCCCTCCAGCCTGGGCGACAGAGCGAGACTCCGTCTCAAAAAAAGAAAAAGGAAAAAAAAAAAAGAATAAAGGTGCTTGGTCACCTGTACTTTGTGCATGTCAAGTGACATCGAAAACCAAATCTGTAGGCTGGGCGTGGTGGCTCACGTCTGTAATCCCAGCACTTTGGGAGGCCGAGGCGGGCGGATCACCTGAGGTCGGGAGTCAAGACCAGCCTGATTAACATAGAGAAATCCCGTCTCTATTAAAAATACAAAATTAGCCCAGCGTGGTGGCGCATGCCTGTAATCCCAGTTACTCGGGGGGCTGAGGCAGGAGAATCGCTTGAACCCGGGAGGCAGAGGTTGCAGTGAGCCGAGATCGCGCCATTGCACTACAGCTTGGGCATCAAGAGTAAAATTCCATCTCAAAAAAAAAAAAAAAAAAGAAAAGAAAACCAAATCTGCAGACGAACTTGAGTGCCTGTGTAACAGGTTGTGTTGTGGACTTGTGTTGTTCATATGCCCTTTATGCAAATTATCTAGCAAAATAGAGCTTTTTGAATCGTGTTTTCCATTTACTATTTCATAAGACATAGTGTGTATCTATATTTAAAAGTTAAGAACAGCTGAAAAATGTATTTTCATTTTACAAGAATGACTTCAATTTAGTTAGCTTTTATTCACCGAAACCTATAATGTTCTGTGTGTCACAATAAAACAAACAGACTGTGCCAACATGAATCCACTTTTACTGAGGATGAGGGTCATTCATGGACCTAGAGGATATAATAGCCAACGTGTTCTCCACAAGGACAAACATACAGATGCCTTCGAAATGTGATGCAAAAGTGCAGACTGCTGCCTCCTACTGATGAACAGGAAATGAGTGAGATGCTATGAGTCACTAATAGTGAAACTAGTCAGTCGACAACTCCAAGGGCCTACTTCATGCGTGGACGAGATCCACCAAGGATGGTTTGGCACGTGAGGGCTTTAGTTGAAAGAGAGGAGAGGTGGACCAGAGACAGCTAGAGCAGCAGGCAGTTCCCGAGTGCTGCAAAGGGGGATTCATCCCACCAGGAGAACGTCTATTAGGGAATTCAGACCAAGTCCTGGGAAGGAATCCACAAAGAAGTCTCCCAGAGCAAGGAGGAAGGGGAAGGGAGAGGCAGCTGGGAAATGCGAGACACACCCATTCACCCCTTCCCCAAAACCCTGGCTTACACACTTGTCAGAGCCTCCCGTGGCTCAGGGAAGTCTTAGCGGAGCCCTAGGAAACATCACACATTTCACTTTCATCTGTGCACCAGTTAGCTACACTCGGGCTTCCAGATCATCTTTTTTTTTTTTTTCCTTTAGAAGGAGTCTTGCTCTGTAGCCCAGGCTGGAGTGTAGTGGCCTGGTCCTGGCTCACTGCAACCTCAGCCTCCCAGGTACAAGTGATTCTCCCACCTCATCCTCCTGAGTAGCAGGGACTACAGGCGTGCACCATCACGCCCAGCTAATTTTTGCATTTTTAGTAGAGACAGGGGTTTCACCATGTTGGCCAGGCTGGTCTTGAACTCCTGACCTCATGATCTGCCCGCCTCAGCCTCCCAAAGTGCTGGGATTAAAGGCGTGAGCCACTACGCCTGGCCAACAGGTGTTTCTTAAAAGCAGAAGCAGAGAGAGGGCAGGAGAGAACACAAACAGGAGGGGAGGGACGTCTTCCGGCCACTGGACTCTCTTCTCAGGAAAGAATGAGGCCTGAGGTGGACACAGGGCCCTCTGGGTGTGTAACAGGCCCAGGGAGGCCTCACCAGCCTCCATTGCTTGTCCATAAACAAAGCGTAACATTACGTATAAAAACAAACATCATCACAAGATAGGCCAGGCAGCCCGTTGCGACAGCAGCCTTGTGACTACTGGATGTGTGTGGGTTGACCTCAGTAAGGTAGGTGCCCTTCTCTGCAGGCCTGTCCAGACAGCTCCAAGCCATGCTGCTCCGGACCAGGCCTGCAGTTCCACCAAGCGGCCCCCTTGTGGGTGCCTTCAGGAACCTCCTCTGACTCAGCACCTCAACCTCCTCTGCCGCCCCGCCTGGGGCGGTCATGTGCACACACCCAGGATCTGCCCAGGGCCCTCTCTGCTCAGCCCACAGATACTGCTTCGTTCCCCTGGCTGACTGGCTGCACCTCCAGGTAAAGCAATGATCTCAGGCCCCAGCCAGGTCATTCTTCATGGGGCTGTTCTGTGTACTATAGGAGGTTTAGCAGCACCACTGATCTCTACCCACGACATGTCGGTAGCGCCTCCTCTCAGTGTGACAACCAAAAATGTCTCCAGACATCACCAAATGTCCTGAGAGGCGAAATCCCCCTGAGTTAAGAACCACTGAGTGCAATCTGAGAAAAGCCGAGTGTACTAAGGAACGCCTGGAAGATCGCTGAGCGACCTCGGCCTGCCTCTCCATTGCTCAAGACGTTCATGTTCCCCAGATTCGATGTCTCCTTCGCACAAAGGCCTAATCCTGACTCCTCTTTGTTCAGGCTCCAAGCAGAGTAGCCCTTCAGGTTAACCCTAAAAATATGAATGAAAGTGTAATAATGTATTACAATTCAGTTTAACTTTCAACAGATGATGATGTGGTTGAATAGGTTTTGGTCATTGTACGATGACCAACTGTGACATACGAGCCTCGGTTCTCGCTGCCTCAGGGAGCAGCTTCCTCTGACTACTGGACCCACTCTTGCCGGCTGGCATCTTCTCAGCCCCATGCTTTGTAAGTCCCCATATTCCTTTACAGGTGTTCATTTAATTCCCTTTGGGTTGATTCTCAGTAGTTTCTTTCTCCAAGAGTAACCTGATTT